TAGCACAGCAGATTAGGAACAGCACTCTAATATTAATATTATTTAAAGATATAGACCATGAAGAGTTTACAGCTAAAACACACAAAAGGGAATCCAGTTTTAACCAAGCCTGTAGAAAAAATACTATTCTTTTTAATATTATCAGATTCATTAAGACTGTTATTTGGTTAAAAATCCAAATACAAATGAACTGAACTACCTTGTCATCCAAGGCTAATTACAAATCTTTAACAGAGAAGTATGAATAGCTACTATTCCCAGATAACATAATGAAGGAAATAGATTAAAAACATTTTTTCCTCTGAAAACTATGTAGAAGCAAAATAATAACAACAACAACAACAAAAGAACGAAAAAAAAAAAAGAGAGAGACTGAGAATAATAGATAGAACTAGTTTATTCCATGATCTGGAAGTTTTTTCTATTTATGCAATATGTTTCTAGAAGAACGTGTAACTTCGATTTTCTATTCCCCTCAGAGCATTGTTAAATGTAAGTGTTGCAATCATGTCTGACATATTGCAAAGCTTCATAAGATAAGAGTTTTAAAATTTATTAAAATTGACCAAGAAGAAAAGGGTGGAAACAGAAATCAAGGCTTCAAGGCTTCCATTCTTAGCTTCTGTCCCAGATGGAAAGGCAGTCAAGTGCGAAAACAAAATGTGTAAGTTTATGCCTTGATTAACTTATTATGATTCCATGGGTGTATTGGAAAAACACAGAATGCTGTCTTATTTAAAATTATAATGTGATCATAGAATTAGACATAATGTTGCAAATCATCCAGATGAAGCAGAAATAAAAGTCTATACTTGATCTTAAACCTGACATTTTTTCTTGATTTTTTGCCTAATCAAAGAGCTTAATTTTTTCTTACTTATATTTATAATTAAACAATTTTAATTTGTACCAAGTTTTCCTTCTTATTTTTCCTGACTCACTAGCAATCAGGTGCAAAGCATAGTTTAATAGAGATAAGACAAAGATGTCCTAGTGAGATGGGGATCTTGGAAGTCTTTACATCAGGAGGTGCAAACATTCACTGTGTTTCCACACTTGTGCAACCATATCTTTATATTCTTATACACAGCAGGGACTAGTTTTCCTTGAAGTATTAATTATCCCAAAAGAGAATGTAGAAAAATCAGAGCAACTCTAGCTTTCTGCAACATGTGCCAAAACATTTCTCTTTGTTGAAAATTACTATCTTTTTAAGGATCAGCTTTATACTGTGAGTTCCCACCTGACTGCAGAAAGCAGTTTCAGGATAAATAATAGGAAGAATTTTAAAATGCAATTCACTAGAAGTTTACTTTAGACAATTATTTTTTCTAAAGGGACTGTAATAACTATTTCGTAGTTTTTTCTTTGTGCAGTGCTTACTGTAGATTACACATAATAAATAGTAATAACCACTATAAGCAATAGCATAAACTGACTTTTAAGCTCGACAAGAGTCATACTGAACAAGAGCTGGTCATAACTGTATTTTTAATTACATTCACTTTTTAATTACCATTTAATCAAACAAATGTCTTTTATAGTACTGCCTACATCCTCTTAAGCAATCAGTGTAATTTTTTTTATATACAATCTTATCAAAAAGGTCACAACAAAAGTAAGCCATTAAGTTATCACAGATAAGTCTGGAAGTAATTATGTAAAGCCAAACAAATCCTGACAGATGAATTAAACAAATCAAAGTTCATTGTTAGAAGAACTAGAGCCTGACCCAGTAACCTCGTGTGTTTTTTCCTCAGATTCCATGAGAAGAGAAAAAGAAGTCCTCAGAAACCCAAGATAAGAAAGATTAGTATTAAACATGTTTATTAGCCTGGCAGTCTTTCATGACCAAGGAGACCCAGATCCCATTGTACTAAATATTGTAGAGGCACAGAACAGCAAGTATAGTGCCATTGTTAGAAAGTCACTCAACTAGTTCACCTTAAATTTATCCAAACTAGAAATCAACTGTTAAAAAAAAGACAACTTTCTAAAACTTCATTAGAATTAATAAAAAAAGTCTTTACATGGAAATTCAGAAGCAAGCCCAAAATTATTCTTGTGGGTCCCGTCTAACTCAAAATATTCTTGTGATTCTGTGATTGCTCCATTTCTTATCAGACTTGATATAACTGGGGGTTGGGTGTAGACTGAGTTGGAGGGGTGTGGGGTTTTTGCTTGCTTTTAAGACACTAGAATTTTATTTACACTTCAGAAAATGTATGTATTTAAGCAGCCCATCTTTCCTTTCTTTTTTTTTTTTCAAATTGCTTGTATTTGTAGCAGGAGAATCGTTTTATGATGCCTACCGTGTGACAAATGTGACATTTGAGGAGTCAGTTTCACTAGTTTTCACAATACCATGATCACCCTTGATCAGCGCTTATGGAAGATCAGAAGACATATACTAAAAGACTAATACAAACTCAGAGTTGCTTATTATGAGATCAAATGAAAGCTGCTATTCAAAATCTGCTGTTTAATCAAACTAGAAATTAGGAAACAAATCTTTACCTAATTTAAATCAGCAAAACATCCCTTAAAATCTGTCTGGGATGAAGGTCTGCTTTTTGTATTTTTAAACTTCCCTTTGCACAAGGTACAAACAGTAAGAATGCAGCACCTCAGTGCAGTGACTGTCTTACTAATATAAGCACAAGTTTTTTGGTAGGATTATGTTCAATTTTATCTTTTAGCTTAGAGATAATACAAGATAGATATTCCAGTCACACAGGGAACTGATAGCACCGACATGTAAGTAGTCTCTGTAGCAATTGAAATGTATTATTTCCATTGTGTGAACTCACAAATGTTCTGAAAACCCTTATGAAAAAATTGCATTGAAAAGTACTATAGGTTTTAGTTCATTGAGTTCAACAGGTTGATTCCAGGAAGTAAGTATAAAATGATGGAAGACTTTCTGTCCAAGGACATTAGATTTTAAATAGTAAAACTGACATATTCAAAATTTTGTACACCAGATGGCAATGTATTCCTAAAAATGGCTGAATTAACTGTTTCATGGAGATCATTAGATCATTGCTGCTTATTGCTGAGTACTTAACTTGTCACTGGAAATAAGACTAATCCAGAAGACATTGATCCAACTGCTCTGATGAGCAGATTCCACTTGACTTTCCACCTGATACTCTCAGCAAAGACCTTTCTAAAGGTTGAAATTTCCACTTCCTATTTTAAAGGACAATTTTTACTATTATATACTCCAATTGCTTAAGTTGAGATTTCACGTTTATATGTTGTATTGTAGGTACATTTTTATTTGAGAATTTCTCAAGCAGTCTAATGAAAAAGGATTCTCAGAACAAAAAACTGTAGTAAAAGAGCATTAGTGTTCAGCTACAAGTCAGCAAGTCTACAGGGGTTTGTCTGACAACATTCAGCCTTGTACTAAACCTTGTCATCTCTAAAAAGTTGTCAAAGAAAGGTGTCTAGCAATATTCAGTAGAAGAAGAGTTCAAGGCATATGTGAAACCCTAAAAATTTCCTTCTATGTAAAAAACTTTAAAAATCTTGAATGTATTTCTTAGGTTTTTCTTCTCAGCAGTAACACAGTTACTAGCTAAAGCACACTGGCACAAGCTTTGTGTGGTGACTGTATGTTTTACAATCCTTTAAAGAGAGGTTTAACCCTAAAAATCAAATTAAGTATTTAACAGACTACCATAACAATTAAAACTGTTTCTTACAGAAATTCCTTTCTTCATCTCCATGCATTGAATTGTCTTTACAATTGTTCTTCCTGTGGCGAAGAAAACTGAAGTGAGTCTTCAAACATAAGGATGAGAACTACATCATTCCCCACGAAGAGAAATCCAAACAAATGTTTGTTCCAGCAACCAAAATTACACTATCTCCAGATACCAACATTTCCTTTACAGTTCATGTGATCTTTGTCTTTCAGTAGAAGGGACTTAATGTGTCATCAGATACTGAGTGTGGATCCAAGCTTTTTTTCCAGAGTCTTGATCAAATCTCAGTTTTCCACAGTCATTGCTGGGAAACTCCCTGATGGTCTCTTCCAAGGGCCTCATATTAGTCAGGCAGCTGGAAGCCAGTTTTAAACTTGCTTATCACAGGATTTTCACTGTTTCCCTGAAATTACAGGTTCCTGTCTTTCACCTTCTACCAGTTCCACCCAGCAAGACCATAGCCACACTTGCCACAAATTTGTAGTTGGTCCCATATCAGAGCCCCATTCCAGGAGAAAACAGAAATTCTGCTTTTTCCTTAGGGAATCACTGCTCATCTTCTGTCTCAGGTGTCTTCTGTCTCTCCCTGATTCATAGCACATTCCATGCTTTCACTGAAGAACTGCAGGTCTTATTTGCTTCCTAATTTATACCATAAGTATGGGCTTTACTTCTGCTTCTGTTTGCTGAGGGATGCATTGCTTTCTCATAATTTCAGGTCCACCTAAACACACACCTCTTCTAAAAAGAAAGGCATATCAGCAACAAGGTAGCTTGTAAACACTGTGGGTAGCCTGGAGAACAAAACCCCAGAACAACAGGAGGAGATACTCAAAATTGGTGTTGTGCACATCTCTACATGTACTGATGTGGGGAGACACCAGCCACTGAATCAAAACCATAACATTGTGGTGGGTTGGCCTTCTCTGGATGCCAAGTACCCACTCAGCTGCTCTAACACTCCCTTTCCCAGACAGACAAGGAAAAGAGTAAGATGGAAAACAACTCACATACTGATCAACCAACCAACCCTCCTTGCTCCTCAGGAGCTTTGTGGCAGCATACAAGTCAGTCTAGGGATGCTGCAACAGATTGCATGGGTGGGATCTCAGCAGTTCTTTTTGCATGAAATAGTTCTAGGTCATGTGAAACTACAACAAATAAAGTAACAATAGAAACAATTCTGCTAAGAATTAAAAGGTACCTTTCCAAATGTATCAGGTACCTTTCAAATTTAATGATTTTGAGACTAATCTAAATCAGGATTGATCATGTCTTTAAACTCACCTTCCTTTCAGAAGTAGTCCATACCAGGAGTAAGAAACCAGGAACTATTGTTAATGTCATTATGTACCTCTCTCAAGGCATGACACATTTGTAGAAGGAGGAGCTTAGGAAAAAAACCAAGAATGCATACTTTTAAAATGAAAAGCTATGCACAAAGAAATCCACTATTTAAAATCAAAACAATCCTCCCAAGCTCCCAAGGAAATACTTACATTTTCAAAAACATGTTCATTTTCCTCCATTTTTTTGCATATATTAACCAACACAGTATTTTTTCTTACTGTTTTTCTCTCAAAATATCACTCTCTGTTATTAAAAAATTGGGCTCTGAAACTGAGCTGCATGGGATGCCATCTCAGTTTTGCTAATGCAAGTGCTCATTCCTCCCGCTTACTTTGGACAACAAACAAATAACTGGATTTCACTGATATGAAGCAATATATCTTAGAATTATTGGCATAAAAATGAATTTACAAAATAAATTTTATGCGCCTGGACAGTGGAAACTACATATTGGTTTCAGCTAATGTATACATATGTTGTCCATATGGCTACAGGTTCTAAGCCTGTCCTGAAAACTCACAAATATTTTCCAATAAATCCTCTCTGTTCTTTCTAATACAGGGATTTTTTAAATTTTTATTTAAAAGCTAAATATTTTGAAAGCATCAATTATACATATTTGAGGACTATACTGTACCCCACTGTGAGCTGTAGTTCATCTATCCTGATTCCTCTGACCACTGTGTTTTAAAGAAGATTTCTAAGCACAGTTCTAGAGCCCCTGGCACAAGCCAGGCTGTAGACAACTGTCTCATTGCTGGATATTTTGCCAACATGAAAATTGCTAGTCTCCTTTGAAGTAAAGCAGAAAACTTTTCACTGGAAATGATTTTGCACGTGAAATGTAAGTTAAATGGTACTCACTGAAGTTATTGCACTCTGACCTCTTAAGTTTGCATGAATCATGGCAGTAGGTTCAAGGGCTTGAAAAACATCTAGAAGGAAGCAAAATTCTTCATTAACTGAATTCCACAGTCCATGTGAATTCTGTAAATTCCCTTTTCTATTTCTATACTATTCTGAGTTCCCTTAGCACCTGCAAAAGAGTTCACAACACTTCCCTGAAGTGAAACCTGCAGGGAGGAAATTCACTTTGCCAAACATCACACTAAGAGAAAGAAACAGGCACCTCCAAAGAGCAATTCTGAATAGGAGCAATGCATAACCTTTTATAGTAGTGTCCCTCTTTGGCATAGGAGTCAGATTTAAACATTTTGAAGACCTTCCTTTCTTTTAGCATTCTCTATATATGGGAAGATAGAGAGACTACTCTCTGCTTTAGGGAGATGCCTACAATTTGACAACACAGAATGAGCAATATGTCTCCTCCCCAAATATATTCTAGTAATATAGACTATGTTGCACTTTCATGGCTTTAGCTGAAGATACTTTCACTGGTTAGTGGTGATATTATGAGAGTCTTTGTCAGTGGAGTGTAAAGCAATATCACACTTTCCTTTACAAATAGAGTGTTTCCTCAGGCACATTTTTTTTCTATTGAGATTTAAATAGGTGTTTAATTGAATGAAAAATGAAAGAGGAGAGCACATTATAGTGCAACCAAGTATGTCCCTATAAGAATTTAATTCTAGTCTTGAAAACCCATGTGAAAAGAGCAACCATCATCTACAGTAATATTAGTTCTTGAATATTCCTCTTAAAAAATGTGGAAGAACTGCTCCGCAAATGCAACTTCAAACACTAAACATCTTGATATAATCCAAAATTAACTCACAGTGATACAGAAAAGCAAACACTGAAGACCTATTTTTACCCTAATCATTTGGGACATTGCTGACATGAATAAGAGGATCCAGCTGCACAAAGTTTTTCCTACCTTTCAGGCACTGGTTTCTTTAGTAATATTGGGTTAGAGTTCCCTGTATCCTTATTTTGCTGCATAAGTAAAAAGTCTAAGTTCTAAGCAATCAGCAATTTCATTTAAATCACCTTATCTGGGAAAATATTTATTACCAAATAAAACATTGCTAGTAATAAAAGTATTGATCCTGCTGCTCAGGGGCATGGTTTCACAATGACATCCCTCAATGCAGCTGCTAGTTGAGAACTCTTGGCCAGAAAAAAATGACCCTGACACAGTAAATACATCATGTGGGTTAGACAACTATGTTATCTGTATTATGCACAAGTGTTTAGTGCATAATATATTAACTGTACATTGTTAAACACATAGCAATGAAAACTTGCATCTAACCATGTATGGTAAATTGGAGTTTATATTTCAGTTCATTTGCAAAGTATGGGAAGAAGAAGAGCCTACAATAAACACTTGTCCACTTTGTTAAACATCATCAACAAATGATTCAGCAGTGCAACTCCTATTTAAGGGCATGTACATGTTGTTATGTACAGTCTAATGACAGAACAAATTCAAATAAACCAGGGGCCTCTACACACTTCTTTTGTCTCCTGTCACTCTTCTCACTGGTGCCCACATACAACTGCATTGACCTACTGCTGGGAACACCTATTGTCCAGGGTGTGATTGCTTCCAAGTGCAGTAAAGCAAACAGTGTTATCACTCAGCAGAGAATACACTTTGCCCATAACAAGTATTTAAGAATCAACAAGAGGAAGTACTTTTTCACACAACACGTAATTATATTTTGGAACTCATTGCCACAGGATGTTGTTAAGGCCAAAAGCATAAATGGAGTTAAAGAAGAGATTAGACAAATTCATAGAGAAAGGGTCCACCAGTGGCTATTAAAATATGATGGTCCAGATGCTGTCTCTAGCTTAGGAAATCCCTAAGCCATTGATTGCCAAAAGCTAAGGAGAAAGGGACATATAACAGCAAGACAAAGCTCAGTGCTGGTGTGTTATTCTTGTATGGATACTTAGTAAAAAAAAATAAATAAAATAAGACATACAGTATACTCTGAATCCCACCCTACCCACAAACTTCTGATCTCAAGGTAACCAAAACTTAAAGAAATTTAACAAAGATCTCATGAAGTTCGTGGAAATAGGCAGATCAATAGAAGCGAGATTTTTTTTTTTAATGCCTCAAAGCTGCAGCATCACTTCAGCTTTTATTAAATATCTACCCAAGACAAATATGTAGGAGGTTCAACTGCATTGAAACTGTTTGCAGAACTATGTGCTACTATAATCTATAAATACTGCATAACTTATTACAATGATTGCAACCGAATGAAAGCTATAGTGAAGTATAATGAATACTTAACATTCAACACAGGGAGAAACCCTAAGAAAAACTACCCTTGAAACAATAAGAAACAAATTTGTTTACATTTGATAGTAAAAAATAACCTTTTGCATTTCCATACATTTCCAACCACATACCACAAGGTCACATCTGCACCAAATGTTCTACTCCCTCTCTTTGAACTCCTTTGAAAGGTTTCCTTGGTCTTTTTAAAGGAGTGTAAAAATGGCTTCAGACAACTAATTCATGATCTGTTTCATTTCTTGTCAAGATTTCCTTCCACATTATTAAGAGAGACTCAATATTTAGCTAAACAAAACAATCATGTTGGAAAAAAATTAATGATTCATATGAAAAAAAACACGCTGCTTGGCAAAAGGAAAGGAAATTAATAGGACACAAAGGCAATAACTGAAGTACTTCCTTATAGAAACAAGCCTGCATGAATGTCAACACTAATTCCTTATAGTCAGCACACATAATATGAATTGTATTAACTCTTTGTGTGTTGTACAGTATATATGGTAGAACACTCTAGACCAAAACATTTGAAACAGTCAGTACTGGTTCATGACTTAACCTTTTACCTAGGAAAACATCATCTTGGCATTCCTGAGAGAGCTAGAGAGTCTATAAAAGATAGAAATAAAAATCTGTCTTGTTAGAAGTTATCGCCCTTTTGGGTAAACTCTAAACTTGAACACAAAGCGTCAGTATAGGAAGACTACAATGCTTGGCTGGGAAACAAGCATGCCTGTGGGATTGCTTTCTTGGATTGACTCTGCCTCCAGTATATTTATTTCTGAATCTCAAAATTTCTAGCCAATAACGGTCCAAACCCACAATTTCATCTTTTAATATTACATCAGAAGTGTTTTAAATACTGCCCAATTTATTTTATAAATAGAAATAAATCAACAAGAGCACCCTGAAGACCAAACTTATTACAAATGGCTCAGTTCTAAAACTTTTGCTTGTAGTCGCAATGTGTTCAATAAGGTAGTTGAGTATGTTTAAGTGTGAAGGCTCAGAACACCCTGGAGAAAATGAAAAGTGGATAATTGTTTCTAACATACCATTTACATGTTGTGAGCTATTCCCAGTTGTCCACGGGGATGTCACTCATTCATTCCTTCAGACACAGAGAGGTAAGGAGTCTGGATAATAACCTGACATTCAGGGAATACTGAGCACAAAGACTTGTTTGAGATAGCAAATATTTAAATTCGTTTTACAAAGTAATGAAAATTACATCTGCAATTTGTCAATAGAAAGGAAACTCTTTTAGTGGAAATTTAATAATGAAACAATTTTAGGAAAATAACTGCTTCAGTGCCTACAGAGCTCAGTGAATGTATCACTGCCTGTGCATGAGGTAGGCAGCTCAGACAGCCGTGGTCTCGTGCCAGCATGAGCTCCCTTGCCCTTCTACACTGCAAAGCTTCCATCCCCACCCAGCTGGTTAGAAGGAAATATTTGATTAAACCTCAAGTCCATTCACTCCTTAATGTTCAGCATGGCAGTACTTAGGGGAAACCACACATCACTGAGATAAATATCTCTTAAGATACTTCCATATCATTTTACATTGATTTCAAAAGAATCTCTAGCTGAAATAAAGGTGTATTAATTTTAACTTCTCCAGCAATTGTATAATTGCCTGATGTAAGCCCATTGGAGTCTACTGGAATCTTTCCAACTGCTTTAATATGTCTGGAGATAAAATACATCAGCTGAACTGGCTAGGTAGTAACACTGGGGCAGATTGCCTGGGACTCGAGATGAGCCTGCCGTGAGTTCCCACAGCTCTTCCCCCAGACAGTTCTCCGACTAGGAAACAGCAACAGCTAAACTATGTTGCCTTTGGATAAGGCAATAAGGCTGTGACTACTGTGTGTATGCTGTGAATTGAAGGCTTCCTTATGATAAGTGTTTGAAGGATAGATGCTAATTATTTTCCAGGAGCTTAGGTTAATAGTATAGATGAAGACATAGGAAAAAACATCTAAGTCAGAATGTAAACCTGATTTACATGATTCTGTTTCTCAAGATATCTTTCTAAAATAAAGGAAAACATTTTCATTCTTTTTCAATAAAACAAATAATTCAATTAACTTTTCCTCACACAGGCATCCAGTGCCATTTGGGATATTCATTGTGGTCTTGGAAGCAGAAGAGTGTTCTTTCTTTTGGAATAAATAATGCATTTAAGATAATCTAATTCTGAATTACGAAGAACAAATATCAGAGCAAAGTTTAAGTAATCAACACTATCAGAAATAGGTAATCTCATCATAAATGCCATTAATTTAATAGAGACATTCCTGAGACACATACTGGAGGAAAACTGAAGTATTGCCATCTCTACTTTCCAGCATATTAATGCTAAACCTGAAAGAGAATTTCAGCAGAGGTGATTTCTCTCATTGCTGGGCTTACCTGGCCAAATATTAAATTTTACCCAAATAGTCACATAAAACAGCAGATCAGGTAACACCTTCAACACTTACAATATGTTTTAATTGCACCCCCAAGAAATCTTCAGTTAATTACTGAGTGCTCAGTTCAGACAAAGTCATCTAATGTACAGGTCAGGTGTGAATACGTAAATTACAAGGTGAATTCATCTTCACTAATAAGGAAAAAAATGTAGATTATGATATTTTTTAGCCTGATGGACCTCTATACAAATATTCAAGCCTCTATGTACCATCTGCATCTGTAAACTTCTTTCAAAATTTT